GAACACAAGTAACAACTCTAGTATACATATCTTTAATGACTTGAATATAAGTCATATCAACGTCTTTCTTCTCAATAATTATCCAAATGATATCTCTTGGAACCTTATCGTAAGCTTTTTCTAAATCAATAAAAATCAAATGTAGATTTTTCTTATTATCTCTGAACTTCTCCATCAAACCTCTCAATAAATGTATAGCTTCCATAGTAGACTTGCCCGACATAAATACAAATTGATTATGAGAAATCTTTGTGATGCGTCTTAACTTATGTTCAATTACCCTCTCCCATAACTTTAAAGTATGACACATCAACTTAATTCCTTGCACACTCTTGTGCATCCTTTTTATTCTTAAAAATAGGGACCAAAATACTCTTCCTCCATTTATACTCTTCCTTTACTCAGGCATCTTTTTAGTTTTTAAAATAATATTAAAGAGTTTAATAAACCAAGAAACAACCAAATCTCCCAAATATTTCCACACTTCACTTGGGATATCATCAGGTCCTACAGACTTTCCACCCTTACAGACTTTCCACAGACTTTCCACCCTTGGTTTTCTTTAAAGCCTCCTCAACTTCTTTTTTTCTGATGTGACGACAAAAGTGAAACGTTTTATTATTATTCATGATTTTAAGATCACTAAGGTCAATCGTATTTTTAGAAACTTCATTAAAAAGTTATGAAAGTAACTCACTCACCTATGTTGAATATCATTTTCTAAGAAAATTATTTTTTTGATTTTCATCTTTAATACACTTGAGTTAAATCTTTACTTTTCTTTTCTTTTTTTGGCTTGTTTATACATATTTTTCACCCTTCTTAGTATCTATTCTATTATAATGATCATTAAAAACAGAATTTTTAGCTTCACAGATTGTTCTTTTAGACTCCCTACGTGTTGTTTGATATTTTTCCCTGTTTTCTAAGCTTTTACATTTAAACCAATTTTTATAACATAATTTCTTATATTTAATCTTTTTTTGCACATTATTATTCCACCACCAACTATTTATATTTATAAAAACTTTTTTTTTTATTCTCCAAGTACATCTTTTGCTACTTGTTTAATAGTGTTTCTTACTTTATCCCACATAACATTTACTTCTTCATGAATATCCCAAATTTTGAAATCTTGAATTTTACTGATAAAAATAATTTTATTTGTGACTTTTAAGTTTCTCTATCTAATTCTACGATGATGAGTCCTAGTATTCTTTATTTTACAACTCTTAATCTTAAAATCTATAACTAATTAACAATATTGGGTAATTAAATTTTCATTTGGAATGACCTTACAATTTTTACAATCGCGACGATCTCTTCTTCTCATAAGAAAATAATCAATTTGTGTTTTATTTGATCCACTCTTATAAGTAATAAGATGTTCATTTCTTTTCTTGAATAAAATATTAGTAACAATAAAATCATGCGCTAAAGCAAAATCCAAAATAGCTCTACCTTCTTCATTTGTTACTCCAAAACCGTAGCCACCATGAGTATTTCTGAAGTCTTCTACCATTCTACCGACATGTCTATTTAAATCTCCTCCAATAAAAATTCTTTCTTCAAGATTAAGTATTAACATTTAATAAATAACATATATTAATTACATTAATTAACATGGTAAAACCCTACATTTCACCATATTTAAACCCTGTATGTAAACTTACTTGAGGAGCGTAAACACTTATAATATTAAAAATTTTAGTATCAATGATAATCTTAATGGCTATAATTTTATCTCCAACTCTATTAATTTTTACAACATTATCTTTCAAACTCTTATCTATAATTACTCCTACACCATTTCTAGTGCGACTTTTACCAGAATACCAAAGTTTAAAAACTAAATTATCAATCTCCTTAGCCTTTTCTCCAACCCACTTAATTTCTTGAATACATGAGATATTAATTTTCCTATGAATCGTAATATCAACTAATTTCATTAATTTACCATTGAGAGTACCTATATTTCAAGGTTTTATTATAATATTAATTTCATTAGTTTCATGGACTAACTTCTTTACTCGTTTTCGCTCGTAATGTGGGAACTCTTGCTTATTTAACACTACACCCGTGCGCCGGTGTAGCGAAACTTTCACTCTTTTCACTGTATTCAGGCTATACAGCGCGTCGCTTTTAGAGGACGTCCTAGCACTTACACAATGATCAAAATGATTCATGTCATGTTTTTTTTTCGATAAGTTTTACGCTGGCTATCGACTACCTAACGCAACCCTCCACTTTTCACATCCGGGTTTGGGACCGACAACGACAGTGTTAAATGGTCCATTCATAATTATTAAGAAGATTAGAGGACTGCAATATTTTTTGCTACCTTTAATGTTGTTGATTTGTCGTCGTATTATAAGGTCCTAGATTTTTCCAGAGATGAGGGTGGAGCTCCTACTACTCTGGGAGAATGGCATGGGATGCGAGAGGGCCTGCAGTATTTGGTTCTCGCGACCACGAGAGCCTTGACCGAACCGAAGCTTTTTTTACCTTTTTTTATTTACTTTCTTTGTTTCCTGCAAATTTTCTTGTTTTGCTTTCTTCCTTTTTGGTTTTCTCTTTTTTTTCTAATTTGGTATTTTTTTAGTGGACTTCTATATATATATCATATTGGGGTTTTGCAGTTTTTATTTTTTTGAGTTTCTTTTGATAGAGTTCTCTTTGAATTTCACTCTTTGGAGTGTTGTAACCTCTTTCTTTTTCCAGTGGTGTGCCTGTAGTTTGCCTAGGAACAGTTGGTGGATCTCTCTCTACATCCACATTTTACCGATTCGTCGTTCATCCGCTGTTCCCTGCTGGACAGCCTCCAAGGGCGCCGTTACCTGCTTATGACAGAAGGAATCTGCACGTTCCTGATTCGGCTAAACTATTGCATGATTATTCCTAGCCTTTTTTTTTTATTGATCATATCGTCCATTTCTAGCGTCAAAGTTTGTTGAAAATATGTTGCAAAATGAAAAAAAAATTCTCTTAATTCTCCAAGGAACTTATGCACTTGTAATCAATCACATCAATACATGCAATTTCACAATCAAAGCTCTTCAATTCCGCAAATAAAGTTGTTTATAACATGAATTCTTAAAGCATAATTAACAGTCTTATAACAATTCTAGATTGCTTCAGTTCAAAAAAGAAACAACTTAAAAAAACAAAAAAACTGGAAAGGCAGTACGATAGAAGAAGTCTAACACAATTTCAACAAACTTAAAGTAACCTTCTTGTGTTTTATCATCCTCTTCCTCCTCCCATTGCATAGATTGTTGTCATTGTTGTGGCAGCATAGCTCTACCACTTCAGCTTGCAATGCGGTCATACTAGCCTCCTTAATATCCCTAAACATAGCGACTCGCTTTCTGACAAACTCATAAATGAGGTCGGTTCCATCAGCTGAATGATAATATTATTCTTTGTGCCAAACCCTGTGAATCTAAAGCTCTAGCGTTAAATTTTTCTTTCCTCCCACTGCATTGTGAAACAACCTTAAGCTATAGCTTTAAATCTAATGCAAGTCATATTAAGATGTAGAGTTTGTTAATATAGATCTACTAGAATGAGATGCATGAAATCACACTCACGCAAAACTTTGTTGGTCACGATTTTACCCTTCTTTCCTCCCATTTCTAAATAAACTTATGCAATGGGAGGTCAAACATTTGAAGAATGTAGAAGCGCAATTAAGCATTTATAAATAATCTCTATTTTATGTGATTATATGAGAGATTGCACTCATTCTGTTTTGAATGTTTGAGGATTTAGTTTTTATTTTGATATGCTCATTTCTTCTTAGGTTGAAGCTATCTATGAATCAGTTCCTATGGCTGCTCAAAGGGTCCAACTGGCTTTTTGTGTGTATACACCAACTATATCAGCATTGAGGAAGTATGCATATAATGACTTGTGATATTCCTTTTTTTTCAATGCTGCAATTTCTTCCCTATCTTTATTTTATGCCCTTATATTCATTTTTTCTCTTTTTTCCCCCATATATTACAAAACGCCTTTGCCTTTAAACTCCAGGGAATATGGTGAACTTTGTGTTGGATGTGGCATGGTTGGCGAGGCATTAAATATTTTTGAGGATCTTGAACTATGGGACAATCTAATATATTGTTACCGGTGCAAACTCTTGTTCCTATTTTATATGTAGGTGTTACATTTTGTTGTATTCAAAACTATAAATCTATTATTTTATGCTGGCAGCTTACTGGACAAAAAGGCAGCTGCTGTAGACCTTATTAATTCACGGCTCCATGAAACTCCCAAAGATCCAAAATTATGGTAAGTGAACTCAAAGAAAGGGCAATTTTGATTATTTTTTTTGTAATTATCTTCTTTTTCTATGTTTTTATATTGATGGAGCAAGACAAACTGACGAGGAAGGGCACAAAAGTTCATTTCAAAATATATCACCTACAATAAAACTATTTGATCATCACTCACTCTGCAAAATAAATTTAAAAAGAAAGAATAAAATGAGTTGGGGTAAAACGTATGCCTGTTCACTTCTTTGGATTCTCACCTCAAATATAATCAGTGTCGATATGTTCGCACAAAGTACAATGCTTAAAGCAGTTGCATTGTGGCATATAAATGCCTATATTTTCTTATGCATTGTTGGTTAAAAGACTTGGTTATGGTGTCCTGGACACCAATTTGACACATTTTTTTAATCATAGCAGGCAAGCTTAGCATCCCCCCTAAATGCTTCTATTTGTGAGGGAGATGTTAGATTGCTGCTGATATTCTTATTGGAAGAATTCAAAATGGCAAAATGAAAGCAATATTCTAGATACAAATACAACAAAAAATGAAAATGAACAAATAAAATTACAAAATGTTAAGGGAATGAAAAATTAAAATGTGAAAAATGTTAGCAAATTTGAATGCAAATAGAACTTACAGCTAACTGATTAGCTTGCCATTCAGCATGAACAGGACCTCTTGCTAATCTATCAAAAGGCTCAAAATTTCAAACTATGACTCTATGAAAATGATTGAAGAAATGCCCTATATATAGTTAAGAAAATATTCCAAGTGAAGCCCACCGGGAACAAAATGCAATTGATTGCAAGAAAAAACATTACTTTAGGTGCGCAATAAGCTCTAACTTAAACTTTCACTATTAAATTAGCAAATTCAAACATGTAAGCAGTATAGTGCAATTAATAACCTTTAAGTAAAAAAAAAATTACCATGTTTCTTACAAAATGCTTTCAAGTGAATAATTGAGTTCAGATTTGCACATCTTTCTTACAAAATGCTTTCATGTGAATAATTGAATTTAGATAATTCAAAATCTTGTAAGCGTAGCATGTTAAATTTTGAACTCAATTTCAATATCTAAAAGGCACACATATTCTCTTAAATGTGATAAATTATCAATTCGAATTCTCGCAGGCATTCTAATATGCTCACTATGATCCAATTTGAAATTAAATAATTTCTCAAAGGTGATTTGCGCACTCAAAGCAAGATGAATTTATGGCACTTTGCTTTGAGAAGTGTGCAAATGTTTCAATACATGTATAACCACAAATCTTATTTTAAATTCAATCACATTATGATTATGTGTACTCTCGAGTGAGCTGTGCTGCTTATAGGGCAGATTTTAAGTCGTCGTTTTTAATTTGGTCGTCCACATCATAATGGCAGAAGTTGACAAATTTTTTGTTTCTGAGAAATATTTATGCTCAACGTGGTCATAACTGAAAGAATGTTTTTTTAATTTCAACTCATGGTCTAGTTAACCAAATTAAGCTTCATTTTGAACTGAGAATTGAACACTCAATTGCGAACTCACCTAGAAGTGTCTTTAATTTGCGTAAGTTTTTCAATGGGTTTTAACCAAAAATATTTTGTTTCAAATTAAAAATCCTTGTTCCTTACCTGCAAGATATTGTCCTGAGCTCTACATTTAGGCTCAATCCTCTTTATATAGGAGTAGAGTTGACAAAGATTGTAATATGATGAATGCTTAATTGAACTCAAGTGCAACACATAAACTTGTTAGCCTAGTCTTTTGCAACCAAGTGGGCTGTGTCAACAACGTTCGAAGCAACAAAGTGCAATCAATATTGGGGTTATTGCACATCTTAAATGGAGTGGTCAATTTCCAAAATATGTGCTTCAAACTGCAAAGATAAATTAGTTCAAGTTGTATTTGTGACAATGATCTTATTGGCAAAAAAAAAATTACTGGAGAGAATATTATTATTAAAATGCCCTTAAATGCCAAATCAAATCATTCTGGGCTCCAATTTTTATAACAATTAAAAAATTAAAGTATATGAAATGCAAAATATTCAATTGTTAATTGATTGATCTATGCTTTGAACAATTAGCCATATAATTCATTTATTCTTTTCACTGGGTTGATTAGTATGAGAAGTTTAAATTTGAACAAGGCTCACAAACAAATAATACCATATCAAGTGCATTCATATGACCACTCTTACAATGTTATGTGTTAAGGATATGGCATGTACCCTCTGATCAAGTGGTTTGTCATCTAATGACAATATTATATTTAAAATTACCTCATTACTTGATGTCCACTTCTTCTATAATTGTTATCTCTTTTAACGCTTATCATTAATCACTTAAGTAACTTGAAAAGTTAGTTTAAAATAATAATGAACTAAATAAGTTTGTGAGTACTCATGTTCATAAACTACAGTAATACAAGAGAAATTAAAACAATATGTATGCCAATCAAGTTTTTAATAAATCAATAAAAAATAGTTGATTCTATTCAAATAATCTTAATGTATCAATAGCATATCAATATCATTCTATATATGTACAATCATCATAGGAGCACTGTTTAAAAATTGTGTCACTTTAAGATACATCAATATCAATATTCTTTTTTATATACATGCACAAGTATCTTAGTGTTTCTCTACTAGTACCATCAAGGGGTGACTCCATCAAGGGGTTTTAAAGGGTAGATAAACTCCTACTTAAAGAAATTCATCATAAGTTTTAAGCCACTGGAGCAATTTTTCAAAACACTCTATTGCTTTGACCTCTTGAATCTCAATGAATTTATTCCATGGTTTTTTTTTTCCGTACACACCCAAACACACAGACCCCATACTTGAAAGGCCTTGAATCTAGGACCTCTTGGTTGAAAGACAAAGCTGTCAAGCATTAGGCCAAAGTGGCTTGCATGAATTTACTTCTTGGTTTGTTACTGCATTACATATAGTATTAGGTATGCTTCTTATTTTGCCGGGTAGATTTATAATAAATCAAAGTTTATCCAAACTTTTTAGGGCTAAGCTGGCTATATCTTGTTCAGATCCAAATTCTAAAAAGGGTTCCTTAGTGTGCAACGCCAGGTTAAAATGCTGTAGCAATTTGACATTAATGCAATTTTAGTGGTTGATGACATCTTGGGTGGTAAATGCTTTACTAGAAACACAGAAAATGAAACATTTTATGACTGATTGATTGGAGTAAAATGCTAGACAACTATAAGATTTACAGCTGTAGTAGTATTTTAAATGCTTCTAGTTTAGTGGCTTTACTTCTTCAACCATTATAAATCACTTCATTGTATTATTTAGATTAAACTTGGACGTCTTATAAATCTATGTTATAGTATTTCTTCTCTTATTCACTCTTGTTCTTTCTTCTGTAAAAAAAATTCAGGTGTTCACTTGGTGATGTAACCAATAATGATGACTTTTATGAGAAAGCCCTTGAAATCTCAAATAATAAGTCTGCTCGAGCTATGGTGAGGATTAGTTATACAAATTTAGGTTTAAGTTTCTTTTAGGTCTAAGTATGTTGTCTGAACTGCTATTTTGCAGCGTTCTTTAGCTCGTAGTGCTTACAACAGGGGTGACTATGAAAGAGCGAAATCTCTATGGTATTTTTGTTTTTGATGATGGCATACTTTCAACAAAGTTTTACATGTAACTAAGAACTTCCGCAAGTCTCAACAAATGTTTATTATGTTTTTCTGCGGAAATTTTCTGCAGGGAATCTGCAATGGCAGTAAATTCTTTGTACCCAGATGGCTGGTTTGCACTCGGTGCGGCTGCATTAAAGGTGATTGCTCAATTTTATGAATCTTAGATCTTACTATCTACAAAGTTGCTAGTGTTGCAGATTTTGGCCTTATTGTGGCTAACTTGTTTTTTTATTGATCCTACATTCTACCCTATGACATGATTGGAATAAGTTGTTCCTATTATTTAAAATAGTTAACGCTGTCAGATTTTTTCATGTAAAAAAGAAAAAAATTGCTCTAAAGCTGTACTTTTGGAATTCACAGGCTCGGGATATCAACAAAGCTATCGATGGGTTTACTCGCGCTGTGCAGCTTGATCCTGAAAATGGCGAGGCCTGGAATAATGTTGCTTGTTTGTATGCTCTGCACTTAAAATCATGCCTTTTCTTCTACAGTTTCATCTCCTATTGATCTGCTGTACCTTGAATTTATTTTATTGCTCCTGGCATAATAGGTAGTAGATCCCAAAGCATTGTATTTTTTATGGTCATGTAGGTATTTTATTTAAACTTGGGAAGATATACATGTAGCACTTATTCCTACATATTTGCATGTCTAACACCTAAACTTCAATTTTTACATATATGCCATTACCTCCTTATTAATGAAATGTTGTATTTCACTTTTTAAAAGTTTAATCAGTGGTCTTTTGATGTGATATGAAAGATTAGGGTGTTAGAAATTTAAAAAGCAAAGTTTAGATGTCAATATGTTAATGCATAGGAATTAGGTGGTTATATACATAAATGCCCCCTTGAACTTATTAGTACTTAGGTCATAAAGTAAGAGAAAAGTGTAGTTATTATGATTTATGAGGTCTGGTAGTTGAAGACAGCCTCATTGTTTAAAATGGGAAAATAGTTTATGTCATGGCTGCTGTAATTAGAATGTATGTTTGAAGCAACTTTATGGTAATTTTGCTGAACAGCAATGATTTTCTTAACTGATTCTATCTTAAAATATTGGTTGATAGAGCTAATTGCAGTGTATGAGCATCATTTTTAATGCCTTTTTAAGAGTTACTTTTTCCTAACTTATATGAAGTGTTCAGGCATATGATCAATAAGAAGAGCAAAGCAGCATTCATTGCTTTCAAGGAGGCTTTGAAATTCAGGTTTCCGTCATTACTTATTTTCTGATTAAGTATGTCTTTTGAGAGAAATATCCATTGCAATAATTTGTTAGAACAACTTGCAGGAGGAACAGCTGGCAGCTTTGGGAAAATTATAGCCATGTTGCAGTAGATACAGGGAACTTTTATCAAGTGAGTATTATTTTATGGAGAACTTCATGTCACTCGAAGCCACTTTGAAAAAAAAAATGAAAATTTACATACATATCACTCAATTTCTATGTATGTATTTACATATGTAACACCCAAACTTCAATTTTTTTACATACAGCCATCTTACCTATGCATGAACACGTCTATTTCACTCTTTAAAAGTTAAAATGGTGGTATGTTTTATGTGATATGATAGATTTGGGTGGTATAAATGTAAAAAAACAAAGTTTTGGTGTCAGATATATAAATATATAAGAATTGAGTGGTGTGTATGTAATGCACAAAAAATTATTATTTTAAATAACTAGCACTATCATATTGTAAATGTCTGTGCTTGAGTATCAACTCCAAGTAGAAAAAATGTGCGCTAATGTAGCTGAGCTTATATTCTACTTCTCAATTAGTATTATTTTTAAATCTTCTCAAAAGAGAAACTCCTCAGTATGTTGATTAAATTGTCAAACCTTCTAAGATGAGCGGTTGCCAATGTAATGATTTATTGCAGAAAGTTTTGCTCGCTTTGGTTGTCAATTTGCCTTTTTTTTTTCTTTTGTATGGTCAAGCTTACCTAAGCAATAGCTTTGAGAGATAGAATATGTACAGCTCTGGAAAGTAATTTTGATTTATCAAACTTTGTGGTGCAAAAATAGTTTATATAATTGAGTCAAACATATAAATATGACTCTTTCACGATGAAAAACTTTCTTTTTCTTCAGGCACTCGAGGCAATAAAAATGGTACTTGAATTGTCATCAAATAAGCGAGTAGATATTGAATTCTTAGACAAGATACTGACAAAGACTGAAGAGTATGCTTCTAGATCATCTTCTTCTTGTTCAGCTACTAATGATCAAGATATACGTGCTTCCCAAGAAGATTCAGCTATGGATTGTTGTGGAGATTCAGGAAATTTTGCTCGTGTGCTTGAAGAACGAGAGAGGGATTTATTGGCGTCCATGATTGGCACTGTCATGCAGCAGGTGCACATTCTAGATGGTTTTATCCTTTTTTTTTAAGTGAAGAGTGTCAAAATTACCCCCTAATTCTTTGTAGGGGTTCATTTTAGTCCCAAAGTCTATAATAGTACTTTTTGGGGATTATTTCAACTCATATTAAAAGAATCTAGGAACTAATTTGTGGCACTTTTATAGGCTCTTGGACTTAAAATAGCCACGTATAAATAATTAGGTGATTATTTTGGCGCTTTATTCTTTTTTTAAATGTCTTTTTATTCTTTCAGCTGTTATTTTGTGGTTTGATCCTTCAAGCCATAAATCCCCTGTTCTATGCTATATATGCCTATTGTCTCTATTCAGCATCATCGTTGACCTTTTCTTTTGCTATGCGGTTTCTCCTTTATTATTCTCATGAAGTTTCCATTTTTAATTCTAATTCTAGTTCTCTGCCTCTCCTGTCATTTAGGTTATTAAAAATGGCGGTGGCGGTGCAGAAATTTGGGGTTTATATGCAAGATGGCACAAAATGGAAGGCAACCTTCTAATGTGTTCTGAAGCCCTTTTGAGGCAAGTTAGGGCATATCAGGTATTTGATGTTTTAAGTAATTTACTTCTTAAGTAATTCACCATTATATTGTACCATATTAGCTATTTGCTTAGCCATGATTTAAACTGGGTTTGTTACTATGTCTTTCAGCCAATTAGATTATCCTGAATATCATCAGATCACTTGATTAACCCACTCATGTAATTGAGGTGGTTTTGTAGCATTTGCCTTGAGTTAATTAGCCTTTTTGGTTCATACTTAACGTTAATTACTCCGCATAGTTACATTCGAACCTGGCTTGACTAGCCCAATGTTCAGGGTGACCATTTTGGTGGTTTTAATGAACTCTAGACCAAACTTAAGCTAAAATTTTGTAATTCCTGCATTTGTTGTCCTCATGTTTGGATTATTTTAGTTTGATCCAATCTAATTGAGAAATATTTAAAGATAGAATTGTTTTTTTCATATCAGTGATTAAGCATTAAATCTCTCGTTTAATTGAGCTAGACATATTTGTCATTAACACTCAACCTGACATCACTAATCAGGATCGAGTGAGTGTATAATTTGTCGGTCTAGATTATCAAATAATGTTACTACACTTTCATAATCATCAAAGTGATCCACCATAATCATTAATACAAAAGTTTGTATAATTTAAATTATCAAAATAAATTATAGAGCTTCCAGTAAATTTTATGAAATCTTTTGTATTAGTAGCAGTCTTTAATTTCTGTTTTGTACATTATTTTTCTTCATTATGCGTATAAATGCACACTCTAAATCGCAGGATAAGGTTTTGATTCATGTTACTATTTTCTCACCTGCTCTTTTCCCTTAACTAAAATATTAATTAATGTTAAAAACTCTATGAAATAAATAATTATAATATATGATTAAAAAATAATAATAATAATAGTAATATGCATCTTGATTTTTTAAACTAACATGAGCTTTATCAGTCATAGATATAATTAATTCAGTGCATAGTTTTTAAATCAACACAAACTTTTATAATTATCTTGAGTAAAAGACAATCATAGGTAATAAATGTACCTATTTGTACTGAAATTAAGTGCATTTAATATCAATAATTTGATGCACTGGGATGGTTGATTACTGATATGGAATTATTTGCTTACCTTTCATTTCTTTCTTATTAAAAAATTGGAAGATTATAATGCATACCACATGATTCTAATGTATTCTTATATCTAACACCTAAAATTAATTTTTACATTTATGCCACGATACCTAGGGCTGGTAAAAAGATTCATCGTTCATGAACAACTCATGTTCGGCCCGCTAAGCAGCTCGATTTATAAACGAGCTGAACATGAACAAACTTTTGTTCAACCATGTTTAGCTCCTATTGACTCGAATTAATTAAATAATAAATAAATAATATATAAAAGTTAAATTAATGATATATTTGATGTGATTGGGGCTGTTAAAAAGTTCGTCGTTCACGAACAGTTTATGTTCGACTGGTTAAGTAACTCGTGTTCGATTCATTTTTTAAGCAAAACCATTCAAACACAAACAAAATTGTTGAGCTAGTTTTATTAACTGGCCGAACACGAACAAAAGAAAAAAATTTAACGAGTTGAACATGAACAAGTCTTTGGCTTTCTCAAGCTCGGCTCGTTTACACCCCTAACCATGCCTATGCATCAAAAGGTGTATTTCACTTTTTAAAAGTTAAAAAAATGGTAGTTGTGATATGAAAGGTTTGGGTTGTATATAGGTGTTAGATATGCAAATACGTAAGAATTGGGCGGTATGTATGTAAATGCCTCTTTTTTATTATTTAGTCTTAGAAGTATTCTATTATTTATGTATAGATTTTGACATCTTCATATTTTTTAGCCATCACTTGGGTTCATTAGCTATAATAATCAATTGCTAAGGTCCACACTTATCCAACTTAGCATATCAATATATGGAACATCAACTCATACATTTCTGGAAGACATAATCTTTGTGGATTTTTTTCTTTTGTGTACATGAATAGTTATGTTCAATCATTTAGTTGCTTAGTTTGCACCTATCACTCTTCGAATCTCTTATTCCTTAATGCATTAAGTTCGTCAATTAGTTTTTCTGAAAGCTGTTCCACTTGGTGCTTGATAAATATTCTGGATTTATTTATGGGGCATTGGCATGCATACCACGCAATTCTTATATATTTACATATCTAACAGCTTAATTTTGATATTTACATGCATACCACTACATCACATTAAAAGTGAAATACACATTTTCATCCATATGTTGATAACAGTAGTGTTATATATTTAATAAAAATTAAAGTACATAGCACAAAATTATTATGTATTTACATGTCTGGCACCTAAACTTTATATTAACATACATAGCACTTTTTGAGTGTTTTGTGTAAATATGAAAGTTTAGGTGTGAGATATGTAAATACATAAGAACTGTGTGCGATGTATGTAAGTGCCCCTTAAAAATATTGAACTTTGGGTGCCAGGTATGTAAATATATAAGAATTGTGTGGTCTGTGTGTAAATTTCCCGTTATTTATTTTGCGCCATAAACATTGATTTCTCTTATTCCGCTACAGGGTTCAGAACTATGGCACAACTTGGAACGGTTTAAGAAATTCGCCCAGGCATCTTTGCTGTTTTGTAATGTTTGCATGGAAATAGCTTCCTCCAGTGGCAACCGCAAAGAACTCTTTCCAGCTGAGATGCATTTAAAGAACTCTGTGAAGCAGGTGATTATATACTCTGCTGCACACTTCCTACTTGTGCATTTTTGCAATTTTCATTCACATATGCACAAAACCACTTCCTCTCAGATTTTCATTTTACAAATTTACACCAGCATAAATTATTTTTATGTCATGACTGTATTGTACTCGATAATTATTTAATAAAAAGGAAGTTTACATACATTGTATACAATTTGTATGTATTTACATATCTAACGCCAGTAGTTTGATATATATAATTTTAAATGTCATTGTTTTGAGAAAATAGGCTGAATCCTGGATAGGCCTGATGTATTTTCCCTTTGCTTTTATTCCCTTAAATAATAATCTTACAATCTATTTTAGGTGTAAAATATTATGTATAATCTATTTTAGCTAATTTAATAATATATATTCATAATCTAAATATTCAGATAGCAGGGAAATAAATCAGAATAAAGAAATTGGAAATCATTTAAATAAGGAAGCTCCTAATTATAGAAAACTCCTAATCTAGTTGCCTGATTTTCATCCTTCCTGATTGAAATTAAACACTTTGTTGTTGTAATTCTATGTATGAAAAAATTTATAAATGATGATATTTTGATGTAATATTAAAGATTTGAGTGTTATGCTTGTAAATATCGATTGTTTTAAGTGTCAGATGGGTAAATGCATAAGATTTATGTGGCATGCATCTAAATGCCCCGTAGAAATGTTTTGCATCTCAAAGTTTTTTCATTCATAGCCTATTTAAGAACGATAGCACCAATTTGCAGGCCATCAATTTCTCAGATACAAAGGAATTCAGAGATCTTCAAACCTGCCTTGATGAAATAAGGACAAGGCTCGATCCTCCTAACAACGTTTCTGTACTATGAAAACTTCCGTGCGGACTTTACCGTCAAAAAGGTATTATTTTCAGTTCCAACCTCCCCACTGGTTGAAAATGTAATTTTTTTTTTTTTCATTTTTAATTTTAAAAAATTGTCTTGTTTTTTGCCGTTATTCAAACAATTTCATGATTCCTTTGCAGGAAGGTGAAGAGAGAACCGTAATTATAATTTTTTATCTGTTAGAACCATCTATTCCATCCTGAATGGCTGAGTTTTGTCTGAAAATTATCATGATTTGGCCATCCAAAGTGGATTGAACGGCTATCAAAATGCAGTTAACATGACAATATAAAGTTGGTAAGTTCTTTATTTATTATTCACAGAATTTTAGGAATTTTTCTTTTTTTATCAGAATTTAATCAGTGTTTTAGCTCCAGGTTCCATGAATTGGGTCTTGGTTTGTGATATTATGTACAATATGTAATATTTGTTGTATATTTATTCAAGTAAAAATAATAGTATAAAGCAGCCTATTCTTTATGTCGAATTTTTAGTACTTAGGGTATTTACATACATTCCCCAGATTTTCTATGCATTTACATATATAACCCCAGAACGTTCACATTTTCATAATCTTTTTAAAAGTGAAATACACCTCATGCATAAATTTATGAACATGTCATGTAAATACGAAACTTTGGATCTTATACATGAGAATTGTATGGTATGTATGTAAATTTCTTTTAATTGTATGAGAAATAATTGCGTACGGACAACGCATGCATCTCTGCATATGGTGTCCGATCCTGACAGTCATGATATATTTCAGTTTTTTTTTTTTAAAAAATTAGGTGGGGCCCACCAAAATATATCATGACCGTAGATCATCTGATTTACAGTCAAGATTCTTACATGCGGTGTCCGTCCGTATGAAATAATTTTTCCAATTGTAGTGTGTACGAGTCATGATGTGTGTGATGCAACATTTACTAATTTACCAGTGATAGTTAAACTTCATTAATGTATTAGGGTTTAGAAGCAGTCAAATGATTTCTGGAGTTTTCAATACAAGTTATGATGATATTTAAATTTTTAAAATAAAATAACCATAGTTGACTCTTTATTTATTTTCATTTATTTTCAATATCTTCATAATCTAACTTCATTTTAAAATATATAGCATTATTATTTATTTATTATTTATTATAATATAAGGAAAAGGTAGCATTATTAATTGGGGAATTTTTTTTACTGTTGTTTGATGGATTTTAAATTTTATTGTTTAAATTCGTGATTTTAAATGCAATTCTTCTAAATAAAAAAAAGGTAATTAGATTTTGAATTTATTTTGATGATATTACTAGTTTAAGTAATTAATTTTATATTTTCATAAATATCTAAAAATATTTAAATAAAAATCAATTTATTTAAAGACGTGGACTCCACGATCGCCCAGTGGTCTTCGGGGGCCAAAATGGACGGTTGTTTTATGCGCCGCCCGAGGGCCGAAAAGTAGGCTTTTGCTTGTAAACATGTTTTGTCCTTTGGTGGTGGAGGCCCAATTGAATCAGGATCCTGACCGAAATATCCGCACATTTTTAAAAAAATTACAAAAATGACCCCCGTGTTTTCTTTGGATTCTAATTTTCATGTTGTGGGTCACAGCCTCGCATGCCTATACGACCCCACCATTTGTTATTTTTAAATCCCTCTTGGCGGACTTATGCGGCCAGGTTGTGGACTCTCGTTGGAATGTCTTGTTTTTCCTAAAACATGATGTCAGCATGAATTTCATGGAGCCTTTGAATTTAGCTCCAAGACTGTTAATGGACTGAAAATTGATTTAAATTTTAATTTGGATTGAGATTGGATTGAAATAAATGAGTGGTGTTATGAGCCAAAATTTTTAATCAAATTATTTTAACTAATTTTGAGTCATGCATGAATCAGCTTGAACCGAGTCAGAGTCAGAAGCTGATGTAAAGCCAATTTCAAGATCTAAATAACTCAATTTGAGCTAGGTTATTCTGATTTTCCACCGGATCAAGCTTGTTGTATTAAATTTTCCTAGCCCGGTAATTTTAAATTTTTTTTTTTGCATAAAAACATATTTTGTATTGAGATTCAAGCTCATTATCGTGGGAAGGAACAAACAACAGATTTGAATGCGTCTTTAACTCCAAACATTAGAAATTTAAAAGAGTGAATCATAATCATTATAGAAGATGTTATTCCATGTTTTCATTGTTTAGTTGATGCACTAATACTTGAAAGGACAAAGATTCATTAGAACTTCTTAGCTTGCTATTAACTATCTAATACCCGAAGCTTAATTGTCGATTACCATCACCCACAATGACCAACTAACTCAATCTAGCTCGCCCATTATAGTTATTAATCTTTTCATATTAATAAAGTGAGGGCAACGAATATTTATTTAATAGATTTATTTTTTTCTCAAATATAATTATGAAAATGTATGGATTGCATTAGTAGTATAATTCCTTCATTTTCAAAGTTAGCAGCATTAGCATAGTAGCTAAAACTGTGGTATGCCTCATTATTGTGTATCGGACTTACACGATAGTTCTAAAAGTTAAGAATCTTCACTACAAATTTCGAATAAAAAAATTTAAAAACTGGATCATGATCATGAATTTTTGGCATTTCATTATTCAAAATGTAATTTGGCTCACTTTGGATCTGTCAGAACGATTTATTATTATGTGATAGTTATCTCTGCATAATACCCAACTCGTGTGTAATTGAAAATTTTAATTAGTGAACTTAATCATTTTTATTGAGTCAATTTTTTTTTTCTGAAAAAAAATCTAATGCGAAAACTATTTCTAAGAGTAAGTATTGACATAAGTTTAGGGTGTGTAAAGCTTTAATATATTGTTTTTAAATACTTGAATTTGGAAGAGATGAGTCAATAAAATGAAACAATATATTATTACAACAAATGGCCATGTTCATGCTACTCAAATGAGGACAGATTTATTATTGAATAATTATTGTAAATAAATAGAAAAAAATGGAAACATGTGATAGTAATGATATATTTTTATGTTTTTTAGAATTTTTGTATTGTGAATAATGATTATGAAATGAATTAGGACTATGCTTAATTCTTGGCATTTTACTAGTTCATATCTTGTGAGATATTTTTTAGGTAACAATATAAAATATAATATTTTTTAGAAATATTTTTATTGGTATTTATATGAAAAGTATATCACAATAAAGTTGATAATACAAAATTTATTTTTATAAAACTTAGTTCTTGTGATATATATATATATATATTAAAATTTTAATAAAATGAGCAGCTCAATTTCTTTATATTTTCTTGAAGTACGAATTTTATTTAGATTTATTTGTGCTAATATGAGCAAGTTAATACTTAATTTTCTTATTTTTTAATGCTCCAAGATAATTATGTATGTTATCATGAATTTGATCAAATATTTAATTGAAAATGTGATTTATCCAAGATAATTATGCTAAAATATTTTACAGTGCATTTTCAAAAAAGTTTTAATTTCCAAAGCTTGTCTAAGATTCATGTAGTGGAGACTGATAAAATATTCATTGATTTTATTTGTTAATTAAACTTTTTTGTAATATTAATGATGGATGTTTTAAATCTTGCCAAGATGATGAAATTATCTTAGTTTAAGTAATATTTATTTTCAAAAGTTAAATTATCAAAAATAATTTATTTTTTCTCAATTATAACTTCTAATATTTAAGAGTATTTATGTTATGATGGCATTCTTATAATAATATTAATGATTTTAATTGTTTTATTGATGTAAGACTTTTGATCTTTTATTTATATGGCTTGTGGGGTATATAAACGACTCTTATAAAAAATGATTTAGGGTTTCTTAAAAAATCAAACATGCAGCCTCTTTACTTTCATGAAGATATTTTTTATTGAATGTTTTTCTTATATATATAATAAAAACTATAATAGTATGATTGGTCCCACTTATTTCAAATTTCTAGTAACTTTGGCCATTAAGATATTCATTATTCTGAATTTTTATTAGAATATTAGCCCTAGTTATATGTAATGAGGTGTAATATAAAAGCTCATATTATTATCAAGTCCAAGAAGTATGCATGATGGTCAAGTATTGGTCGATGTGTTTTTAATAATGAAAGAACACATTATAATAATTGACAATGAACAAATATAAATTTATTAAAATGCGGTGTTGTAGATTATTCTTGATTAAAGATTGAAACCCTTAAAAATTATGATAATGAATTAATTTATATCTCATTTCTTTTAATAAAGCATCACAGTTTAACTCTTATGACATTATAAGAGGCGGAAATAAAACATGTTTGATAATTCTTTTAGTTCTTATGGGTTGGAGCGGTAGTTCTCCAAAGGGTGTCTAAGAGATTCTAATGAGGCTGTGATAGAGAAAATACCAAAAAATTTATGCTTAAAGAGTATTGCATTGTGACATCAATCAATCAATTTTAGTTTATCATTGATTTTCTTTCGGGAAAATTCCATTATGTTTGATGATGTTCCTTAGCATCTAACCTTCTAAAAAAACTAATGATTTTAAGACCCACTATAGTGGGCATTTCTCCTACAAACCATTAAAGAAATAATTTGAGCTTAATTACTTTCATCCAATAACGAAGATCTTTAAGATAAGGATGGAGGGCCTCGACCATCTATATTATAATGTCATTAATTAGGGATTGATTCTAAAATGAATAAGTTTTAGATTTTAAGACCCACTGTAGTGGGCATTTCTCCTACAAACCATTAAAGAAAT